GTGTTCCCTAGTGTCCCTTACTTTCCGATAAGATTTATAATGACCTCCAGTGTTTCCTAGTGTCCCTGACTTTCTGATAAGATTGATAATGACATCCAGTGTTTCCTAGTGTCCCTGACTTTCCGATAAGATTTATAATGACCTCCAGTGTTCCCTAGTATCCCCGACTTTCCGATAAGATTTGCAGTGACCTCCAGTGTTTCCTAGTGTCCCTGACTTTCTGATAAGATTCATAGTGACCTCCAGTATTCCCTAGTGTCTCTGACTTTCCGATAAGATTTGCAGTGACCTCCAGTGTTTCCTAGTGTCCCTGACTTTCTGATAAGATTCATAGTGACCTCCAGTGTTTCCTAGTGTCCCTGACTTTCCAATAAGATTTGCAGTGACCTCCAGTGTTTCCTAGTGTCCCTGACTTTCCAATAAGATTTGCAGTGACCTCCAGTGTTTCCTAGTGTCCCTGACTTTCCAATAAGATTTGCAGTGACCCCCAGTGTTTCCTAGTGTCCCTGACTTTCCAATAAGATTTGCAGTGACCCCCAGTGTTTCCTAGTGTCCCTGACTTTCCAATAAGATTTGCAGTGACCCCCAGTGTTTCCTAGTGATCCTGACTTTCCAATAAGATTTGCAGTGACCTCCAGTGTTCCCTAGTGTCCCTGACTTTCCCATAAGATTTATAATGACCTGTTTTAGTGTCTCTGACTTTCTGATAAGAATTGCAGTGACCTCCAGTGTTCCCTAGTGTTCCTGACTTTCCAATAAGATTTGTAGAGACCTTCAGTGTTCCAAGTGCCCACGACTTTCTGTGGCCCCAAGATTTCTAGTGATCCAGTAGTCAGACCCCCTTTGTCTTAGTGGCTTTGCAAGTGTCTCCCACTGTGGAGTGTGATCTCCATCCTCCCAGTGTTCCCAATATCTTGTAGACTATCTCCGGAATATCTTGTAGACTATCTCCAGTGACTCTCTGCGTGTTCCTGCCTTCAGCCTGTAACCTTGTATGCTGTGTATCCTCTGAACATTCCAGTGTCCTTGTGTCTCTGTTGTCCTTGTGTATCTCTGTCAGTCTATAGCCTTCACGTACCTTCATTATCCCCATTGAATTTCAGCTTGCCTTTCATTATCAGTTTCAGCCATCTATTTCAGTGTTTCCCTTGTGTATTCCTAGTCTGTCTCCTGCTCTGTGTCCTTGTGTATTTCAGCCTGCTCCTTAGTGATTCTTAGCATTACTGCTCTCTCATAGTGATCCTATGTGCCTCTGTGGACTATCAGTTCCCAGTGCCTATATGTGTTTCTGTGCACTTTTACCAGCTTGGGTTGTACTACCTACTGACCAGTGATCCCATCGTCTCTGTGCTGCAAGGGACTCTTACCTGCTTTGGTTCCCGATAGCTGCCTGTTGAGGTGAGTCAGAGGGCCACAACCTGGGAATAATCTGCAGTGCAACCCATCTCTGCCTTCGGAAGCTTTGGAGAAGACTAGGTGGTTCCATAGACTCTGCGCCTTAGCCCTTCCAAAGGCTGAATCCCCAACCATACGAGATTGTCCCATAGGTTGTCAGGGTCTGGATGTGAACCTGCGACTTCTGGCTGTGGCTTTTCTCGTAACAAGTGACACACTTCCCTGCTATATTGGCGTTTGTGCTGCTGTAGTGGCAGCAACTAACTCTGGTGAGTTTGTAATTCACTGGAGGATGGGGGTTGTTATTCACTATTGAATGTTACTGTCTACAATCAAGCACACTCCTTTAGGGTGATGGATGGACGCACATTGAACATTATTTTTGTGGATTTAAAAATGTATTTAATTTATATGGACATTTATTTATAAGCATTTTTTTGATGATTACTGCACTTTATATATATGCTCTTCTTATTGTGCCACCTGAGATGCTGGACAGCTCCCTGTCTGATCCCTTAGGTCAGGGGTGGGCAACTGTGGCCCTTCAGCTGTTGTAGAACTACAAGTCCCATGAGGCATTGCAAAACTGACAGTTACAAGCATGACTCCCAAAGGCAGAGGCTTGATGGGACTTGTAGTTTTGCAACAGCTGGAGGGCCACAGTTGCCCACCCCTGCCTTAGGACAATCTTGACTTGTCTCTTGTTAAAAGTGAACCTTGAACTCTTTGCTCCTCCAATGAACTTCCTGATTTAAGCCATGTCTCTGCACTACCATACCTTACCAACCTTTGGCTTGTTCTTCGACTATGCTTCCACTTGATCCCAACATGCAACCACTTGATATAAGACATTGTTCCCCAAGTATGCTTCCACTTGATCCCAACATGCAACCACTTGATATAAGACATTGTTCCCCAAGTATGCTTCCACTTGATCCCAACCTGCAACCATTCTAAATGGAAGGGGGTCTGCTGTGCTGGGGGAGAGGTTTATGGGGAGGCTGGAGGAGTATTTAAACTAGGATAGAGGGGGGGGGGGAGAATTAGATTATAATGGGGTGGACAGATCAGACAGGGGTCAGTACTTATTGGTGGGTGGAATGGGGAAAGATGGGGGGAGGGCTATGGCAGATGATAAGAAGGCTCTCATGTTACAAACAACCAGTGGAATTGGTACCATTTGTATGAAAATAAAAAATATGCAAAATACGTGTGCACAAGGTGTCAATGGGTTAAAGTTTTTATTCACCAATGCCAGAAGTCTGCCAAGCAAAACAGGTGAGTTGGAAGCTTTGCTGCAAGAACAGAACTATGATTTCATTGATATTGCTGAATCTTGGCTTCATTCTTCACATGACTGGGCCATTAATATTCCTGGCTATGTTCTCTTTCGGAGAGACGGGGGAAATAGGAAAGGTGGTGGTGTCTGTCTCTATGTGAGAAGTGATCTCAGAGCGAGTGTGAAAGAGGACCTAGTTGATGAGTGTGATGAGGCTGAAGTATTATGGGTGGAACTGCACATGGAGGTGCATACTACAAAGGTAATCATTGGAGTTTGTTATAGGCCTTCCAGTGTTAATGAGGAGGTGGAAACTCAGCTCCTCGCACAGATCGAAAGGGCTGCATGGGCTGGGACAGTGATAATAATGGGGGTGTCAGGAATGGACTCGCCAATGGTGGTGGGACTCATCTGCCGTGTGGGCTGCAGTACCAGGGCTGGCCAGCGGGTGCTCTCAGAAACCAGAAGCTCACTCCTGCAATCAGCCATCACCTGAGGCTGATTGCAGGAGGTGTATTTAAGGAATGGCGAGTGCAGTCAGGGCCTTGGTGTATGTTTCCCATTAGCCCCTGTACCGGCATCCTGTCTGCTTCCTGCCTGATCCTGACTCCTGCTTTGATCCTGACTCTGAATGAACTCCGCCTGTCCTGACCCTGGCTATTCCTGACCACTATCCAGCTGCTCCTTTGGTACGTTGTCTGCCTGATTGTTCCTGACCCGGCCTGTCTGACTACACTCTGCCTCCTCCTTTGTGTCTTGTGTGCCCACTCCACCTCACCAGCCCTGACTGCTCTTGTCTGTGTACATTCCGTTATCAGTTGGAGGTTTGGTTTTGTTATATTGTGCGTTATATTTGTGTATAACCTTTAATAAATTATATTGTTACACCATACTTGAGCCTGCGTTTCCCTGTGTCAGTTCACACATCTCTGGTCTTACCGGAGCCCTGACATTACACCAAGGCCATTCCTGACCAGAAGTGGCTGCACAGGGAAGCCATCTTGGCTTGTTGTTGGGAAGGATGCATCCTGAGGAGGTTATATACTTGTATCTGCTAGTCTTAGATGACAGAGAATATGCCTATCAGACTCTGCAGGAGTATACCAGGGATCAGCTGCTGGAGTGCATACGGGTTGCTCATTCCCTAGTAGATCAGGGCACAGAGTTCTCTGAGGTGCAACCATTGATTCAGGCTTGTGGTGAGTTGGCTTCATCTAGCACCCCTGAAAGCAGGGATGACTTTTTTCCACCATTCAGTACGGATCAAATAGAATCACTGGTATGGTTGTTGGAGGATGATCCGGATTGCTTCTGGGAACATTATTCAGCATGTTCACCACATGTGCTAGTGGAGTGTATAGACGCAGTGCAGTCTTTGGTCAGACAGGCTATGTGTAAGCTGAGTTTTGTTCAACCAATACTACAGTCCTGGTCAGACTTGTTACACCCAGCCTCAGTCAGCTTGCAACAAACCCGTCCTGCTTCTAATCATTCCTCTGCTCAAAGCTCTATTCCTGCATTCCCGACAGCACCCCCAGTGACAGCCCAATATACCCTGTTATCTACCACATGTCAGTACCCTGTTCCCACTCGCTGCACCTATCCTGCCTTTAACCCTGTAAAAAAGGCCGCTGTAGCAACTATTCCCTCCTCTGTTCCATCCTCCAGCTCTTCTCTGTCCACAGCTACTCCATCCATTTACAGACCTGCATTTACTTGCAGTGCCCCAGTAACTAAACCCAAGAAGAAGCGAAAATTCTTTCCAACCAGCACCATCCTACCAGTATCCAAACCGGTCAGCCTGCTGTCTGTGAACCTGCCTTCCGTTGTTCAGCCCTGATGCCTGATGACCCAGTGTACGCTACCCAGCCTGATGATCCTACCCAGCCTGATGATCCTACCCAGCCTGATGGCCTGATCCAGCCTGATGATCCTACGCAGCCTGATGGCCCGATCCACCCTGATGATCCTACCCAGCCTGATGATCCTACCCAGCCTGATGATCTGGTGCCCGCTACCCAGCCTGATGGCCCGATCTAGCCTGATGGCCCGATCTAGCCTGATAACCCGATCCGGCCTGATGATCTGGTGTACGCTACCCAGCCTGATGACCCGATCCAGCCTGATGATCCTGTCCAGCTTGATGATCTGGTGCCTGCTACCCAGCCTGATGGCCCGATCCAGCCTGATGACCCGATCCGGCCTGATGACCCGATCCAGCCAGATGACCCGATCCAGCCAGATGACTCGGTGCCCGCTGCCGTGCCAGGTGACTCGGCGCCCGCTGTCGTGCCAGGTGACTCGGCGCCCGCTGTCGTGCCAGGTGGCTCGGTGCCCACTGTCGTGCCAGGTGACTCGGTGTCCGCTGTCGAGCTTGGTGACTCGGTGCCCGCTGTCGAGCTTGGTGACCCAGTGCCCGCTGTTCTGCCTGATGACTCGGTGCCCGCTGCTCCGCCCGATGGCCCGGTGCCCGCTGCCTCGCTCGATGGCCCGATGCCCGCTGCCTCGCCCGATGGCCCTGATGTCCCGCTGCTCCGCCTGATGTGCCTCTGCCCGCTGCCCAGCCTGATGTGCCTCCGTCCGCTACCCAGCCTGATGTGCCTCCGTCCGCTGCCCAGCCTGATGTGCCTCCGTCCGCTGCCCAGCCTGATGTGCCTCCGCCCGCTGCCCAGTTTGATGTTCCTCCTCCCGCTGCACAGCCTGATGTGCCAGCCCTTGATATCCAGCCAGTTACCTGACCCAGGCGGTGAAACATTTTGCCCACTAAGGACTGTTCGGAGCGTCCTGAGGCCGCTCCTTGAGGGAGAGTACTGTCAGGAATGGACTCGCCAATGGTGGTGGGACTCATCTGCCGTGTGGGCTGCAGTACCAGGGCTGGCCAGCGGGTGCTCTCAGCAACCAGAAGCTCACTCCTGCAGTCAGCCATCACCAGAGGCTGATTGCAGGAGGTGTATTTAAGGAATGGCCAGACCTGCAGTCAGTGCCTTGGTGTATGTTTCCCATGAGCCCCTGTACCTGCATCCTGTCTACTTCCTGCCTGATTCTGCTTTGATCCTGACTCTGAATAAACTCCGCCTGTCCTGACCCCGGCTATTCCTCACCACTCTCCAGCCTGCTCCTTTGGTACCTTGTCTGCCTGATTGTTCCTGAACCGGCTCATCTGACTACGCTCTGCCTGCTCCTTTGTGTCTTGTCTGCCCAATGGTTCCTGACCCAGCCTGCCTGACCACTCCACCTCACCAGCCCTGACTGCTCTTGTCTGTGTACATTCCTTTATCAGTTGGAGGTTTGGTTTTGTTATATTGTGCGTTATATTTGTGTATAACCTTTAATAAATTATATTGTTACACCATATTTGAGCATGCGTTTCCCTGTGTCAGTTCACACATCTCTGGTCTTACCGGGAGCCCTGACAGGGGGATTGTAACTACCCGGAAATTGACTGGAGTAATGTTAATGCAGAAACAGTAGAAGGGCAAAAATGTATAATCCTACTACAGGACAAATTTTATGGTTCAGTTCATAGAGGCCCCTACTAGGAATGATGTTCTGCTGGACCTGGTAATCTCAAACCATGCAGAGCTTATTACGAATGTCCATATAAAAGAACATCTGGGTAGCAGTGACCATAACATGATTTAATTTATTGTTAGCTGTAAACAGCGAGCACATATGGGAAAAATAAATAAACCTCAATTTTAAGAGACCTATATTTCCAAGGCTGAGAGCTGCTCTCCAAAACTTACACTGGGAGGGAATATTGGCATCAATGAACACAACACAGAAACGGGAGTTCTTCAGAAAGTCTGTATGTGATCACACTGCAAATATATTCCCATGGGCAACAAGTTTAAAAGGCTAAAAATCAAACCTATGTGGCCTACGGACAAAGTTAAAAAGGCTATAGATAGTAAGAGAAGAGCTTTTATTAAGTATAAAAATGAAGGAACACGATCATCATTTAAACATTGCAAACAGAATATGCAAAAAGGAAATAAAGGTCGTAAAACTTGAAAACAAACGACAGATTGCAAAAGATAGCAGGGTAATCCCCCAAAAATTCTTCAAATATATTAATAGTAGAAAGGTTCGGTCTGACCATGTAGGCCCTTTACAGAATCATCTAGAGGGGGTGACTGGGGACAAAGAGAAGGCAAATGTATTTAATCCCTTCTTCAGCTCTGTGTATACAAAGGAGCATGGGGGGGCTCTTGTCCATAATGGGCATGGTACTGACACAGCTCCAGATGATCCACATTGGCTCACAACTGATATGATCCAAAAATATTTAGACAGAATAAAGGTGAATAAAGCACCTGGACCAGATGGCATACACCCACGGGGGCCTTAAAGAATGGAGCTGTCATTTCAAAGCCATTGTTTCTCATTTTTAGGGACTATTTAATGACTGGCATATACCGCTGGATTGGCGTAAGGCCAATGTGGGGCCAATATTTAAAAAGCGGTCAAAATCTTTACCAAGTAATTATAAACCTGTTAGGGTAACTTCTATAGTTGGGAAGATACTGGAGAGTTTAATAAAAGACCACATAGATGAGTTCTCGCTGGAAAAAAATATTTTTAAGCAACAGACAGCATGGATTCATGAAAGACAGAAGTTGTCAAACAAATCTGATTTCTTTTTATGAGGAAGTGAGTGTAATACATAAGGGGGATATTATCTCCATGTATAATACATAAGGGGGGATATGATCTCCATGTATAATACATAAGGGGGGATATGATCTCCATGTATAATACATAAGGGGGATATGATCTCCATGTATAATACATAAGGGGGGATATGATCTCCATGTGTAATACATAAGGGGGGATATGATCTCCATGTGTAATACATAAGGGGGGATATGATCTCCATGTGTAATACATAAGGGGGGATATGATCTCCATGTGTAATACATAAGGGGGGATATGATCACCATGTGTAATACATAAGGGGGGATATGATCTCCATGTGTAATACATAAGGGGGATATGATCTCCATGTATAATACATAAGGGGGATATGATCTCCATGTATAATACATAAGGGGGATATGATCTCCATGTATAATACATAAGGGGGATATGATCACCATGTATAATACATAAGGGGGGGATATGATCTCCATGTATAATACATAAGGGGGGATATGATCTCCATGTATAATACATAAGGGGGATAATATCTCCATGTATAATACATAAGGGGGGATAATATCTCCATGTATAATACATAAGGGGGGATATGATCTCCATGTATAATACATAAGGGGGGATATGATCACCATGTATAATACATAAGGGGGATATGATCTCCATGTATAATACATAAGGGGGGATATGAACTCCATGTATAATACATAAGGGGGGATATGATCACCATGTATAATACATAAGGGGGGATATGATCTCCATGTATAATACATAAGGGGGGATATGATCTCCATGTATAATACATAAGGGGGGATATGATCACCATGTATAATACATAAGGGGGGATATGATCACCATGTATAATACATAAGGGGGGATATGATCTCCATGTATAATACATAAGGGGGGATATGATCTCCATGTATAATACATAAGGGGGATATGATCACCATGTATAATACATAAGGGGGATATGATCTCCATGTATAATACATAAGGGGGGATATGATCTCCATGTATAATACATAAGGGGGGGATATGATCTCCATGTATAATACATAAGAGGGGATATGATCTCCATGTATAATACATAAGGGGGGATATGATCACCATGTATAATACATAAGGGGGGGTATGATCTCTATGTATAATACATAAGGGGGGATATGATCATCATGTATAATACATAAGGGGGGATATGATCTCCATGTATAATACATAAGGGGGTATATGATCTCCATATATAATACATAAGGGGGGATATGATCACCATGTATAATACATAAGGGGGATATGATCTCCATGTATAATACATAAGGGGGATATGATCTCCATGTATAATACATAAGGGGGGATATGATCTCCACGTATAATACATAAGGGGGATATGATCTCCACGTATAATACATAAGGGGGGATATGATCTCCACGTATAATACATAAGGGGGATATGATCTCCACGTATAATACATAAGGGGGGATATGATCACCATGTATAATACATAAGGGGGATATGATCTCCATGTATAATACATAAGGGGGGATATGATCTCCATGTATAATACATAAGGGGGGATATGATCTCCATGTATAATACATAAGGGGGATATGATCTCCATGTATAATACATAAGGGGGGATATGATCTCCATGTATAATACATAAGGGGGGATATGATCTCCATGTATAATACATAAGGGGGATATGATCTCCATGTATAATACATAAGGGGGGATATGATCTCCATGTATAATACATAAGGGGGATATGATCTCCATGTATAATACATAAGGGGGGATATGATCTCCATGTATAATACATAAGGGGGGATATGATCTCCATGTATAATACGTAAGGGGGGGATATGATCACCATGTATAATACATAAGGGGGATATGATCTCAATGTATAATACATACGGGGGGGATATGGTCACCATGTATAATACATAAGAGGGGGATATGATCTCCATGTATAATACGTAAGGGGGGATATGATCTCCATGCATAATACGTAAGGGGGGATATGATCACCATGCATAATAGATAAGGGGGATATTATCTCCGTGTATAATACATAAGGGGGGGATATGATCTCCATGTATAATACATAAGAGGGGGACATGATCTCCATGTATAATACATAAGGGGGGATATGATCGCCATGTATAATACATAAGGGGGGATATGATCTCCATGCATAATACATAAGGGGGGATATGATCACCATGTATAATACATAAGGGGGACATGATCTCCATGCATAATACATAAGGGGGGACATGATCTCCATGCATAATACATAAGGTGGGACATGATCTCCATGTATAATAGATAAGGGGGGATATGATCTCCATGTATAATACATAAGGGGGGGATATGATCATCATGTATAATACATAAGGGGGGATATGATCTCCATGTATAATACATAAGGGGGGATATGGTCTCCATGTATAATACACAAGGGGGGATATGATCTCCATGTATAATACATAAGGGGGGATGTGATCTCCATGTATAATACATAAGAGGGATATGATCTCCATGTATAATACATGAGGGGGGATATAATCTCCATATATAATACATAAGGGGGGATATGATCTCCATGTATAATACATAAGGGGGGATATGGTCTCCATGTATAATACATAAGGAGGGATATGATCTCCATGTATAATACATAAGGGGGATATGATCTCCATGTTTAATACATAAGGGGGGGGGATATGATCTCCAGGTATAATACATAAGGGGGGATATGATCTCCATGTATAAATACATCAGTGGTTCATATAGTGAACTCGGTGTAGAGTTAAAAAACGGAAGAACTTCCTGCGCTAAGAATGGGGCCCTATTCACCAAGCTGCTGACACAAAACCTCCTTACCAAAATGAGTGAATAAACATAAATATAAAAGTGTAGCGCTATCCCTAAACTCGTTAAATATAAACTGTATAACTAACTATTCGAAATATAACAGTGGTCTGTATAT